TCTGGGCGCAGCTCCCGCGGCCCGCCCTGCTGCCCCTGCTGCTGCCGCAGGTAGCGCCACCACCGGCCGCCTGGCCGGGAGCAGAGGCGGCCGAGTCGGCACGCCAGGAGGCGATGAAGGCGTCGCCGGCGAACTTCAGGATGTCGCCGCCGTGAGCGACCACGATCTGCGGGGTGCGGTGGGGGTCTGGGTGACACCACCCACTGCAGGGCGGTGGGCGGAGAGGCAAGCGCCGCCTCGATGAGCGAGCGAAAGTAGCGGTTGATGTAGGTCTGCAGCAGCTCGGCACCCTGAGCACCATGCCGCTCGGATAGCAGCTCAGAGAGGCGCGAGAAGCCAGAGATGTCGATGAACGCCAGAGCACCCTCGTAAACCTCAACCTGCGAGGCGGCCGGCGCGGTCGGCGGCAGGTGGCTCTGTGCGCACCTCGCTGGGAACGGCGCACCGATGGACTGCGAAGGCTGGCGGCGTGCCGGCTCGGGTGCTGCAGTCGCCTCACCAGGCACCGCGGCACCAACCGCTCCAGCGCTCGGGTCTCCAAGCTGCTGCTGCTCATTCGTGGAGCATTGAAAAATGTCAACTCTCTGTCTCGTTCAATCACCCTATCTGTCAACCTCTCACAGGCCAGCGCACAGCGCCATAGGAGGTATTTTCTTCTCAATAACAAGGCTGTGAAGGGCATAAGCCCTACTGTGTGAATTCGCGGAGCGAAGAAAATTTTATACGGAATACGTCCATTTTTGGAATACGGCGTATTCCATGGAATACGTGGAATACGGGTGGAATACGGCAGAATACAGGCCTCTGGGAGGTCATTTGGAATAGAGCTCTACGTGGAAAACGTATTCACACAGTAGGGGTATAACCATGGTTGCGTGCAGACAATGGAGATAGAGCAGCCCCGGAGCGGAGGCCCGCCCGGGGTATTCAGTGTGTCGCGGGTGCCTAATCGGGATTAATTCCGTCGGGCGCCCACGAATTTACGTTTGCCGTCGGTGTTTCGCAAGCGCATAGCACCACCCGTCGGTGTTACGGCTTGTGCTATGCCTGCTTTGGAGCCCGACGGGAACGCGGGAGCTATGGTCTCCCACCCTCCTCCCCTATAGCCTCTCACAGTCTGGCGACAGTGGGGGGTGAGTGCGAATTTCCGCAGTGTGTGCGTCGTCTCGCTTTGATAACACGCGGATGGTCCAAACCTTTACAGCTCAGCCC